TTTCAGAAGTTTGTTTTTCTCTGCAATGCATTCTGGGTAGCGTCACTGCTTCGCCACATTTTGTTTTCAATCAACACAATATATTACAAAATACATACAGTACTTAAAGTGGTTCTCACCCCCGCTCCTCTGAGCTTACGTCACTCACATTTCCTGTTCAAATCTTCCTCTAAATGGGCGTAGCCTGGAGGACTAAAGGGGGCGTGAACGAGACTGGGCCGTTTACATAGCTCTGGGCGGGGGGCTGCTGACGTCAGGTCCAACTTGCAGACGTCAGGTCCAACTTCTGTGCCAGTGTTGGCGCCAGATTCAAAATTCAAATGTAGTAATACAGGTCGCCAGCAGATGGCGCCTTACAGACGGTTTTAGGCAGAAAGTCTAACTTTCAACTAATTTGCACCAAAGTGACAAGATTATGACCAGGATATGTAGACAACACTATTGGACACTCATTTATACCGTTTATCAGCAAAAAAAAGTGGATTTGAGGGTGAGTTGTCCTTTAAAGTATCTTCACTTAAAGCAATAAACTCAGTATTGTACAGGGTGCTATGATAATATTATACAGTACTTAGTTGTCAACCAACAATATAAAATAATGAAAAATGAAGTACATAGTGATTACTTTTAAGTATTTTACATCAAAGTTTGGTCTGATTCACTTATAACAGTGCAGGTACTTCTTGTTCTATTCATTATGGAGACCCCCCTTCTTTTTCCCTCTCTCATTACAATTCTTCTTCATGTCAAAATTGTGCAAAATAAAATAGTAACGGAATAGGACAAGAAGTATTCATAGTAGTAGTGCATTCTTTAAACTGGCAACATGAGAACATAACTGTCGGTGACGGTGCGTGATCTGTAGAGTTAGTGATGTCATGACGTAGGCCAAATGTGGAAAATAGACCCCGCCCCTCTGAGTCACCTGGTTTAGTAATCACTGCTTAACATCATTATTTCAAACCAGCGTCATGCCAAAGTAGTACAAACACCTTGTAAAGATTAGTAGCCACAACTATTTTGACAAAAACATGAGAGTAAGCAATGACTACTAAACCGTTCACAAGATTACAAGATCTGGGTTTACACAGTGCAGGAACATTTGAATGAAACAAATCCAAAGCTCTGAAAAGATTTACACATTGGTGATTTTGAAAAGTCAGGCAGGGAAAGCTCCCCTTTCAATTAATGTGCAGTGCTGCAAATGGCCAGCAGATGGCAATGATTTCTATTGTATTAGTGTTTTAACAGAACATACAACACTGTGATGTTCCTGTGATCGCTCAGGCTTCAAATGAGCTGTAAGTTTTCTTCTCAGTCACACACTTCTGCTACTTAACACACTCACACACAAAACTACCACGTTTGACACAGTTTGTCATTTTTACTGCCTACTGCAGGGCTGTTGGCACTTTATCCAATCAAGATCTACTTATCCAGAAACCAGTGAGCCGAGATCTACCTCAGTTTTAATGTGAGAAATAATTCAGAAATCTCTCAATCTTCATGCTTTGGTTATTCATGATGCAGATTAAATGTGATGTATAAATGAATCAAGTTAAGCATTTAATTAATTTCCATTGGACTACAAATGGAAACTTCCACCTGTGGACTCACCACCTGCAGAGGGTCAGTGAGGGGCTGGTGCTATGAGACTTGGGTGGCAGCTCTGATTGCCACCCCCCTGACCCAGAAATGGATTAAAGGGTAGAAAATGGATGGATGGATGGATACAAATGGAAACTAGCCGTCATGCCTAAATCTGGCATATTTACATGGACATTTGTTGATGAATCTGCCCCCTTCAAATACATAAATACATAAATAAACAATTTTTATTTACACTGTCAGAGCTGCGTTGATCAGCGGTGGGATTGTTCACCGTTGAGGCACATAAAGTGAAAATGTTGCCCAGCCCACACTATACTGATGTAATGAGCTCCCCTGGGCCACACTTTCTATGGGAGATACCCCCCAAGCCAAAAGTATTGTGGGATTTGTGAAACTAGCAAATAAGGCTGTATGAAAACTCACAAATAGTAGATTATTTTAAACAGATTGATTTTTGATAAATTGATATGAAGCAATGTTATAAAACACACATTTACATAGTTTTTTATTCATTTGTCTAGTGGTTAAGGCTTCAGTAGATTGCTGTTTTTACATTTTTTTACAGTTTTTAATCAATAATCCCGTAATCTCATTGGGAAATTGGAAGAGTATACTTTTTGTTTTTTCTTTTTTCCCAAAGAGGAGAAATAAAATCTATAAATTCTACTTAATTAAGATGAGAAACCTGAAGTTTCTGTTGTGGTCACATAAAGGAAACTGGTGATGGCTCAATATATTGAATGAAGTACTATTATGTCCTTTTTATTTCTAATTACCTAAATTAAAAAAGATAGCTCAGTTGGTAGAGCATTGGCCTTCAGGCCTGAAGGTTGTGGGTTCAATTCCCACCTCTACACCTTCTCCACCGACTCCCACTGATGACTGCTGTCGTTGTGTCCTTGGGCAAGACACTTAACCCCACTTTGCCCAAAGCCCCCACTGAAAGATCAAGGCTATGCTCACAGTCAGAGAGCAGCCGTCCTCCTGTGGACTCACCACCTGCAGAGGATCAGTGAGGGGCTGGTGCTATGTGACTTGGGTGGCATCTCTGACTGCCACCCCCCCGACCCAGCAATGGATTAAAGGGTAGAAAATGGATGGATGGATGGATGGAAAAAAGATAGGAGTCAGAAATAGTTTTCTAAGCGAATCAACATAAATAAGTTTGAGCTGGTCCTAGTGGGTGTGGTCCAAGGCATTCACACTGTGCTGGTATTCTCCGGCCGCTTTACCTGCTGATCCTGTTTGAAACACATCAGACCGCTTCAGTCTGACATCACTGCTCCACATGGCCTTTGTAACACGCCGTCTCCAGGGGCAGGATCTCACGCCTCGCACAAAACTAGACCAGAAGAACAAAAACTTTCAGGTGCTTTTGTTGCCATTCGTGTATAGTAACAAGGCAACAATTCTTACGACAATGATTGACATTAAATTACAAGCTATTAAAATAAGACATCTAAATATGTATTTGTCTTGATTCTTTACTCTGTCAGATTGTCAGATGTGCTTTAGGGAAAAATATCTAATAACTCAATCAGTTATTACTGTAGTATTACCATTTCAAATATGCAGAATCCTAAAGATAGATATTCTTACTATTATTCTCATTTTTACTTTCTTTAAACAATAAAATAATAGACAACAGCTGTAAGCCTGTTGTCTATTCTTTTATTGTTTTAAAGGTTATTAGAAGGTTATTCTAATATGACCAGTTTAAAGTAGATAGTACTGCTTAATTACCTGACATGTTTCTCAGTAGTAGCTTCTTTACACTCTTCTTGTCTTATAAGAAAAACCTCCTAAGCCTTAAATTGATTGATTTGTTTAAACTTATCTTTATTTTATTATAGTAACTCAAATTACTGGGGCGGCACGGTGGCTGAGTGGATAGCACTCTCGCCTCTCAGCAAGAAGGTCCTGGGTTCGAATCCCGGCCGGACCAGGGCCTTTCTGAGTGGAGTTTGCATGTTCTCCCCGTGTCTGCGTAGGTTTCCTCCGGGTACTCCGGTTTCCCCTACCACTAAAAATATGTCCAATAGTTCTGGCATGCGCCTCCTGTACTGGCGACCCCGCTCCCATCTCTGTGTGGAGTGAGAGACAAATGCCCAAAAATTAACAATTGTAAACCGCTTTGAGACTCAGATCTGCAGTGAAAAGGCGGTATATAAATACAAACTTACTTACTTACTTACTTACTAATTAGACGCTTTGGCTGAGTGAGGGTGGTCATCTCTTTTTCCCTTCTCTGTCTGAAAAAGCTGAAGATGATGCCAACAATACAATTTCCACATGTACGTGAAAACTAGTGATATAACCAAACTGCTGCATAATTGCATGTTCCGTGGTTCGAAAGTTAGGTACCCCAGCTTTAAAATATAGTTAATTAAAGTAGCGCATTATAGACACTTCAGCAGTGTATTATGTGAGGCTGAAGGAGTGACAAAGGACAAAGGAAACCCAGTGGGAGTGACTCTGAGCCGGTTTAAATCCACCTGAACCTTCGCATTCCACGGCCCATAGCGACAGTGCACCTGCTGTGGCCTGTGTAGCCTGTTATGCTAGTATAGTTAGCTGTTAGCAATTGTCTTACCTGCGTTAAACCTAGCATACACGTTTGTTTGCCTTCTTTTACAGCCTTTTCCGAAAGAGCCGGCGCACAAGTTTGGACTTTGGACTTTATGGTATTTGTATATGACCTAAATCTGGACGTCTGTGTGCGTGTGAGAGCAGAGTGAGACGTCGCACCTGTTTGTTCTATCTCCGCTGCAGGGCGCGCGGCTTGCATCAGGCGCGAGGACCACCGCTGTGAACAGGTGAGTGCTCTGATCTTTGTATAAATGTTAGAACATATGTGGCACACGTTGTTCAATGTAGAGGAATATTTTATAATAACTGCAATATCTCGATGGTTAAAAAACAATAGAACGGTACAGATAGAGAGTCATTCTGATTCTTCTTCTGCAGTAATGTGGACCAGTTCAGTGTCATATCAAAATGCCAGGTTAGATTACTAATTTCACATAATTAACATGGACATAGATTTAATCACAGAGTTCAACTTGTTGTGGTTTGAAAGTCAGGTACCCCAGTTAACTGTTTTTTCACGCTCCTATCTAGTTTAGAAGTAGAAACGTGTAAAATAAATCTAAATAAATTTATATTTACAAGACTAACTGGTGGGACAAACTAAATGTATTGTTAATAAAATAAAATTTAAATTCCTCAGCTTTAAGATTTCACAAAAAATGTATACATTTTTCCCCATATTTTTAATGTTTGGTAATGTTTATAATGTGACAGAAATGACATCGTTTTAGATAGTTACCGAGAAAACCAGCCAACTAAAAAGCAAAAAAGGCTCAAGATGTATTAAATGACTGTTTTAAATGGTGAATAGAAATAAGCCCGACTTTCCCCTCTCCTCTCTCCCCCTCTATTCCCTCTCCTCTCTCTCCCTCTGTGCCCTCTCATCTCACCCCCTCTGTGCCCTCTCCTCTCTCTCCCTCTGTGCCCTCTCATCTCTCTCCCTCTGTGCCCTCTCCTCTCTCTCCCTCTGTGCCCTCTCCTCTCTCTCCCTCTGTGCCCTCTCATCTCTCCCCCTCTGTGCCCTCTCCTCTCTCTCCCTCTGTGCCCTCTCCTCTCTCTCCCCCTCTGTGCCCTCTCCTCTCTCTCCCTCTGTGCCCTCTCATCTCTCTCCCTCTGTGCCCTCTCCTCTCTCCCCCTCTATGCCCTCTCCTCTCTCTCCCTCTGTGCCCTCTCATCTCTCTCCCTCTGTGCCCTCTCCTCTCTCTCCCTCTGTGCCCTCTCCTCTCTCTCCCTCTGTGCCCTCTCCTCTCTCTCCCTCTGTGCCCTCTCCTCTCTCCCCCTCTATGCCCTCTCCTCTCTCTCCCTCTGTGCCCTCTCCTCTCTCCCCCTCTATGCCCTCTCCTCTCTCTCCCTCTGTGCCCTCTCCTCTCTCTCCCTCTGTGCCCTCTCCTCTCTCCCCCTCTATGCCCTCTCCTCTCTCTCCCTCTGTGCCCTCTCCTCTCTCTCCTCTGTGCCCTCTCCTCTCTCCCCCTCTATGCCCTCTCCTCTCTCTCCCTCTATGCCCTCTCCTCTCTCTCCCCTCTATGCCCTCTCCTCTCTCTCCCTCTGTGCCCTCTCCTCTCTCTCCCTCTGTGCCCTCTCCTCTCTCCCCCTCTATGCCCTCTCCTCTCTCTCCCTCTGTGCCCTCTCCTCTCTCTCCCTCTGTGCCCTCTCCTCTCTCTCCCTCTATGCCCTCTCCTCTCTCCCCCTCTATGCCCTCTCCTCTCTCTCCCTCTGTGCCCTCTCCTCTCTCCCCCTCTATGCCCTCTCCTCTCTCTCCCTCTGTGCCCTCTCCTCTCTCTCCCTCTATGCCCTCTCCTCTCTCTCCCTCTGTGCCCTCTCCTCTCTCTCCCTCTGTGCCCTCTCCTCTCTCTCCCCTCTATGCCCTCTCCTCTCTCCCCCTCTATGCCCTCTCCTCTCTCCCCCTCTATGCCCTCTCCTCTCTCTCCCTCTATGCCCTCTCCTCTCCCCCCCTCTGTGTGTCCAGCCAGCACCATGATGCAGGAGGTGTCTGCCATCATCTCCAACGACGCTCTGGTTGCCGAGGAGCTGAGTGAGGAGGAGATCCTGGCCTGTCTCGTGGCCGACTCAGGACCATATTTCCTCGTAAGGATATTTTAGACACCATCTCCTTTAATTCCCATTATCAATGCATACACCGGAAATGATACATGTACTTTTTATTTTTACTAAATTATGGAATCATCAGGGACCGAAGCGACTCCTTTTTCTTTTGTTTGTTTTTAGAATATATTGTTTTCTAAAATATAATCAATCTGCAGTTAAAAAAAAGTTTATAAATTTACTGTGTTACTCAATAGATTACTCAAATACTTTCAAAATTCAAACACTGTGGCACCGGGGGTAAATAAAACTGTTTAAAACGTTTCCATTGTTTCCAATTGTGGATTTAGCTGCTCATGATTTTCAGTTTTGTTTTAAATTAACTAACAATGATAATTTGGTTGTTGACATACTTATTTGGCCAAATCAATTCTTGAGATTTCCTCCATCACTTTTCTATCAGCCGCATATTTTTCCATTCAAAATGCATCATGTTTTTAATTGTTATTTTAAATCAGTGCAGTTCATAATCGCAACATTTTGCTCCCAGCCCATCACTCCCACAACAGATGTTCATAATTGTTTCCTCAACTGTACAATTACTAAACCATATGTTCTTTTCTTGGAGACAGCAGTTGTTACATTATCAGTTCACATGCCTTTATTGTGTAATCAAAGTAGTAGCCCGTCCATCCAAGTAAGAAGGTCTAACATGTCCTTGGGTAAGACACTGTTTGCCCATTGCTCTTATGTAGACACATTCCTGGAGCCATATTTCTGTATAATCCTGTGCAATCCTTTTGTCTGCCTTCCCCCGATGACAAATGCCTCTTTAAAAGACGTTAACGTAAAAATAACGTCCACGGGTGCGATGTAAGTTGACAAGCGTGGGATTTATCAGCGTCTGTAATGCGATTTCAAGATAGCATAAATGTCTCTTTACGACGTTTGTGACGGGGAAACCATTCGCTCCGTGACTGCTTTTAACGCTTGCTCAATTACCAATTGTGCTTGATGCCCGTCTTGTCGTTCATATCTTATCTCCTCCTCCTCCGCCCCTGGATCGGTTTCGCTGGTGCAGTCACAGTGCCACATCTGTTTTTCCTCAAGACGTGACCATGGTGCTGGTTAAATCAAAGCTGACATCCGCCCGCAGGTGCCCACCAAGAAGGCCAAGCTGAAGGAGAGCCGGCTGCAGATCATGGAGGAGGAGGACTCTCTGGACAAGTATCTGGTGAGAGGGTTTGGGGGTTTGAGAATGATGTAACCCAATATGACAAAGCAATGCACACACTGCAAAAAATGATAAAATATTAGGTAATAATAGTTCGAATCAAGTTTTTTAATCTCAATCTGAGTACATTCTGACTGTCTTTAAACAATATGTTCCAATGGGACAAAACCACCTTATTTCAAGAAATTTTGCTTAATTTTCTCATTCCAAGGGAAATTTTTCTTGTATAATTTAAAACAAGAGAATTTGGCGTGTACCATAGGCAAATTTGGTTTCAAAGCCAAAATGTGCTGAAATTAAGATACATTTTGAAGAAATTGAGCACATTTTGGCTTGTTTTTTCATCACTTTTTTCAATGTAGCAAAAGAGGTGTGAAAGGTTTTTTTTGACTGGTGAAACTGAAAGAAAATCAGACTATAATGTTGCATGCCATCCACAGTATCCTGAAATGTTTCAAAATGTTTCCCGCATCAAGAACAGACCCGGAGTTGTTCATAGTTCTATCCCTTGAGCTAATATCAGGAATTCTGTCTTAAACCAACACACACACACACACAAACTCCCGGCCCCTGCTGTCTAAATACTTCAAACTTCTTACTCCAGGGGTGTCAAACTCATTTCGGTCCAGAGATTAAAATAGTAATAGCTCCCGGGGGCCAAAATAGTAAAAGTGTTTGAAGCTGGGCAATATCTGTGTATATTTAATAAGCATTTTTTACGTGATGAAGGTAGTTTGACAAATATTACTTTAATTTGAAATGAGTTTGGAGATTACTTTCTGGTAGATTTTTCTGAACAAAACTAGTTTAGTTACTGTATGTTTGGACTGAACCAAAACTGGGTCAACAATTGGCCAATTATTTATATTTTATAATTATGTATTTGGTTTAAACATTAGAACTACATGATTTATTTGGTTGGTTTGGTTTGCTTTGAAATTAAGTATATCACACCATGGTTGCTCATATTGCCCTGTCGAGAGGGTCTGTTAGGGTTTAGGATTAGGTTTAGCTGTAATACAAAATACAAAAGTACTGCAACACTGTGTCACACCTCACTCACAGCTTACATGAGATATTTTTTTAGAGATGTAAGTGTCGTGCAAGAGGTGATTAGGCTGTCACCAGGTGTTTTATGAAAGCAGTTTTGAAGTGATTTGAAATGTCACTAAACAGGAAGCAGCACTATCGTGTAGGTACTAGGTAGTAAAGTGAAGACGAGAGTACTACCATAAATTACACACCATTCAATCATTCGAGGATATTTTAAAGAGAGAGGGAGATAGAAACCCCCACTTCACTAGGACTTTTAGAACAACTACTGCTTATTATGTCTTTTCCTCGCCGTGCTGAGTGAGTTTTGTCCTGTTCTTCAGAAGGAGAACCAGCGCCTCCAGCAGGCCAGTCTGCGCCTGGAGCAGGAGAACGATAACCTGGCCCACAGGCTCATCTCCAGCAAAGTGGCTCTGAGGAGCGCCCTGGACCAGGTACAGTCCGGTACAGACCCGCCAGCAGTATGCCCACACTGGATCTGGGCCTCACTGATAACAGCAGCAGAACCAGGCTGGAGAAACAATGGACTTAAACATACTTGTCCATATTGTTTTTATTGTCAGTAACTACAGCTGCATTAAGATGTATGATGGGCCATATGGTGGCGCAGTGGTTAGCACTCGTGGTTCACAGCAAGAAGATCCTGTGGAGTTTGCTCGTCTCTGCGTAGGTTTCCTCTGTATGCTCCGGTTTCCCCTACCTCTAAAAACATGCACAATAGTCTCTCATAACAACCTCCCCGACCCCCTTTCTCCCTGGAAAAAGAGATTTTTCAATTACAATGGGATTTTCTGGGTGAAAATAAGTATATAAATAAAACAAATAATGTGTTCACTCAAAAGGAACAGTTGAAGAAGATATAACATGCTTCTGCCTGTGAGTGTGATGACGTATGGACGGTTTTGTGGCTCATTTGAACTCATTGCGTTTTTTGAAAGTCTTTCAAAGAACTCACTTGTGCCTGTTCACAGTTGGTATGCAACAGGATTAAAACAAATTATCAAAAAATGCCAGCTAAAAATGTAGACGAATAACTTAAATTGTCCAAAAAAGACCATTGCTTTATGATATGATTGCTTTGAGTGAGCGTGTAAAACTTCATAATTATAAAATGACCACCAACGCCACTTCCTGCCACCAGCTTAAGCCCCGCCCATAAAGAAAACGTCACAACGTTTACAATTGTGAGGGCTGGGACGATACCTACCTTGATACAAAGGCACTTTCAGTTCAATATCATTATTTCCAAGCAATTTGAAACAATACTGTTAAAAATAAAAGCTTTTTAGATTTTCTGTTTTAACAAAAATACAGCATCGGTTATTCATTAATATTCAATTTGTTTAAGATTGATAGTCGAAAAAACAAAATTCAGCCTCTTGCTTCTGTATGAATCTCTGACTGTGATCTGTTTTTTGTGAGTAAATATATATGAATTTGGGGTATTATTATTTTTTTGATTGGGTTTAGTGGCTGCCCTGCCCTGTATGTGGGTTTTGTGATGATAATAATAGTGATAATAATAATATAAATAAATGTGTTTATAATTAATATATACAGAAAATTTAAAAGCAAAATAGATTTTAAAAAGGCCACAAAATTGCAACAGAAAAGTGGACACATCAAAGACCTTGTAGACTCCGCTCTGGCTGCAGATCAAGTTTTATCAACTTTTCCTTCCAGTAAAAAGAGTTGACCTGTGGCGGTGGTCTGAGGAGCCGGGGGGAATGGGGGGCCATGGCATCTTAGAATAAACTTAGAATACAAATGTCTATAACTTGCACGAATGGCTCTGTAAACGCCGTCTTAGTGCATACATGTCAAGGCGATGTTGCATGTTCTCCTCCTCTGAAAGACGGTTTTTTTTCTCCTTTATCCTGCCCTTTTCTGAAAGCAAATATTCAAAGAGTACAGGTGATTGTAAGGTAAGGCATGAGAGTCATAGACTGGCAGATGTCATGTTAGTTTATAGATAACCAATTCTAAAGCCCTGAATAATCTCTGCCCCTTTCACCATTTATCAAACCCTACTTCGCCGTCGCATGGACCAATCCCAATCTGCCGCAGTCACACGCGTCCCGATTTAAATGTCAAATGCTGTATAATCCGCCCTCCTTTATTCACAGTAAATATTGGCTTTAGGATGCCAAATGCCAAGCGGCCGTGTCAGAATTCCTAACACGCTTCTGTCACAAAGAAATGTATGGTTTTCACGCGAGGACGGGAGGAGTTGTGTGAACAGTTTATATAGTTTAGATTAGAGCTGGGTGTCTTTCAGAGCCTGCCAATATGATATAAGACGAGACATGAATACTGGCACAGCAAGAAGGTCCTCGGTTCGATTCCTCCAGGCCTTTCTGTGTAGACCGTAGAGTTTGCATGTTCTCCCCGTGTCTGCATAGGTTTCCCCTACCACTAAAAACATGCACAGTAGGTCTGGCATGCGGTCACTATATGGCGACCCCGTTCCATCCGTGTGGAGTGAGAGATAAATGCCCACAAGAATTGTAAAGTTCTTTGTGACTCTGGTCTCTGAAAGGCGCTATATATAAATATTACTTACTTAATATTTATTAATATTCACAAATATTATTGAGGGCGGCACGGTGGCTGAGTGGATAGCACTCTCGCCTCTCAGCAAGAAGGTCCTGGGTTCGAATCCCGGCTGGACCAGGGCCTTTCTGAGTAGAGTTTGCATGTTCTCCCCGTGCCTGCGTAGGTTTCCTCCGGGTACTCCGGTTTCCCCTACCACTAAAAATATGTACAATAGGTCTGGCATGCGCCTCCTGTTCGGCGACCCCGCTCCCATCTCTGTGTCGAGTGAGAGACAAGTGCCCAAAAAATAACAATTGTAAACCGCTTTGTGACTCTGGTCTGTGAAAGGCGGTATATAAATAAAGATTACTTACTTACTTACTTACTTATATTTAAAACATATGTCATATAGAGATACAGGGGACTTTCATTTAGATTTGATACAATATATTTCTTACCAATTCAATTCAGTTCAGTGATAAACATCAATTGATGCATTTTTGTTTAGTTATAAGTAAAAAATGAATAAAGAAGGGAGATCTGAAAAAATGTGTTTTAATTTAAAAAAATCTTTTTCTAAATGTTTTTGTATTCTTCCTTTTAGTACACTTCTAGTTGAGATGGTTTCTACAATGTCTCATTCCCTCTTCCTCTTGTGCAGACACTAATTTTATCCTCGAATTCTGTGCATGGCTTGTTAAGTGGTAACAAGCCATGCACAGAAATTCAAACCAAAATTATAATCTTGCGCGTAAATGTCGGCTGCTTTTCCTCCCATCGAATAGATACTTCAGCATTTGAAAACTCATTTTAAAAAGTTGAAGCTAATATTGAAAATGTGGATCATTTTTTGTTGATGCTGAAACTAATGAAAACATGGCTTGTAAATTGAAGTAATAAATGATAATGTTTTTATAGCCAGATGCAGGTCAGTTAGACCAAAACAACATCTGACAGTGAGTGCTAACTGTTTGCTTTCAACACAGGAATAAAATTATAAAATACACCAAACTTGTATAAAAAAAGCATATGTTTGTACTGTTGAGGTATATTACAATTGGTACTGTCTAAAACGACAACTATTTAAGTATGTATTTATTTGCAAGTATTCATGTTTTCCAGGCAGAAGACAAAGTCGACCTGCTGTCCAAAGAGCTGGTATTGAGCCAACACTCGCTGCAGTCCACAGAGGAGCAGATGAAAAGCCAAGAGGAAGAAGCTGTCATGGTAATAGGACTTACCCAAATATACACGTAACTACATGATGCCCGGAACAACATCACATCCCTTTTTCCGCAGTTAAAAGAAGTATTCAGGCGAGAACTGGAGAAAGCCGACCAGAACATCCAGAGGTCTGCGGGCATCATCGCGGACTACAAACAGGTATTGGGACCAGAGGAAGGTGAAACGGGCTGTGTGGATGCATCATGATGACATATTGTTTTATTAATGTCATTGTCAGATCTGCTCCCAGCTCACAGAGCGGCTGGAAAGACAGCAGGCCGTGCACAGGCAAGAGATGGACTCAATTAAGGTGAGAGTGGTTTACTGTGGCGCCATCTGGTGGTTATAGGGAAGATTGCAACGCTGTTGTTGACATTAAAGCCATGTAGTTTGAAATAAAAAAGAGCAAAGCTGAAGTGTTATAGCGGACATCTTTACTTCATACATGCCTCATATCCCTCTGAATACTGTAGAAATAGGAAGTCACAGAAAAGCAAAAGTACATTGTGTAATGTCATGCTTGCAATGCAAAATTCAATATCTTCTGTTTGTAAAGTGTTGTTTTATTCAGAGTAAAAATAACCACTTCTATTGTATAGTACTCTATTTTTGTTTAAAAATATTTATTACTTACAAAATAAATTGTTTCTTTGTATTGTCATTTAAAACCTTATGGAGGATGTTAGTGCTTAAAAAAGACGTGACAAGTTACATGCTTGTTTACTATGGAAAGTTGAATGATAGCAGTCTTTGTGATTTGTTAATGCAACCACAAAAATTGTTATTTAAATTTGATTGCGATGAATCGTCAATCCATCCTAGTACCAGTAGGAGGAGTAGTAGTAGGTACTTTAATTAGGTTGACTTCACTTGGCATTTGTATAGACTTTACTGGACTACAGTATAAACCATAGACTGTAAATATTAACAGACATAGTCACGCCTATCTCCGCCGTTCTAACTAATGTGACACAACTTCTGCAGTCTATGGGCAGTTTCAAAATAGCTGCGGGGGCTGGAAAATGTGAAAAAAAACATATCTGCGAATTTGTCAGCCGGCACGAGCCCCATTCATTTAACGAGTGCCTTCAAAATTTCACAGTGACTAAACTAGACTGGTCCAAAAAAATTCACTCCCCTCAGCATTGACACACATGGGGAACGGAGCTTTGGGCCAAGAGCCAACTTTTGGACCATCCTGTAAAGACGTTTTTGAGAGGTCAGCTAATGCTATATTTTAGCATTGAATAATTCTTATTCCGGGCCCACCCCCATCGGCCCGTGGTGGTATAGCAAGCATGTCAGCACACGTCATTTTGGCCACTTTTGAGCCAGGACTCGCCCCCACTGGTATAAAGCCATGCTGGTATGTAGCAGTCTGAGTCCACACAGGCCTCACGTCCCGTCTGTCCCCTTCTGTCCCTCAGAGTGCAGTGGAGGCCTGCAGCAGCTGCTCACATACACTGCAGACGCTGGAGACCCCCGGGGGACAGGAGGAGAAGGACAGTCCCACCGTGGGGTCCTGTCCTGGGGCTGCGAAGGAGGAGAAGGACCCCCACAACCACAGCAGCAGCAGGAGCACAGACAAGGAGCCCCTCCGAGAGCAGATCCGTGAGCTGGAGCAGGAGCTGGCCCGCACCAAACTGCAGATGGTGGAGGCCAAGTGTAAAATACAGGTACACTTTTAATTTGTTATATATTTTATCAAGATACATTTTTCAAAACAAACAAGAACACACACATACACACACAGGTACAATACAGCAAAAGAAGCAAACAAAAAATGCTAACATACAATAGATAAGACAATGAAACACACTTATCAACCAATATCTTTTTAAAACACTCTCAAAATATGCAAGTTTTTTTCTGGTTTGCTTTTTTTTATCTTTGTAACTGAAAGCTCCTGCTCTTAAAAGATTGAACCCAGCCCTAACTGTGACTCAGGAGAAAAATAAAACATTAAATATGAGGCAGCAAGATTATTCACAATCAAATCACAAATTTGACTCATAAGAGCTGGTCCGGGACGGAAGAATAAAAGCGATTGTCTTTTTTTATTTTTTTTATCATCATTAATAGGGTTGTTTTATCTGTTTTTTTTTTTTTTATATATTATATAGTTTTTCTGAACAAAAGGAGTTTCCTGTTGGGATTGAACAAAAACTGGACCAAATATATACAGGAGATGGAATCGAAGACTGATAAGCCAAAGATGTTGAATGTTTTGAATTAATTCTGCTGTTAAGGTTTCAATCTTTTTAAGTATTTAAGTTCCTGAAATAGCTAATCCACAGTGAACAATGCTCTTTTCAATGTTTGTAATTGCAATATTTGTCAATAATATTTGATCTTCTGCCAAAATCGTGCAGCTCTGCAGGAGACATTATTAACAGTCCTCACAAATATAGAAGTTTATTTTTATTCTTAAGAAAAAATAATAAACATATTCTTTTGAAGCATGTTGATATATTTGTTTATGAATCTGAGGTAAATTGATCCACTTAATACAGAAATTGATGCTGAAATAAGCGGAAGTGAAGCTAAAATAGAAGTAGGCTGAGACGTTTTACTAAACTGAAACCAAAAGGAGGATGGAATTTTGTGACTCACTGCAAGAACAAACAGAAAATAGAAAGTTTCCGGGTATTTTCCAGAGTCTTACTACATTCCACACATGACAGCGACAGTAATACAGTGCATTAGCCCAGGTTCATGTGACATCACAGGACTGTCTTCCACTGGTGCATGGGTTGTGTCCTCTCTGACAGCACAACTTACAAGTCTCAAAAGTGTTATTTCTGATTACCGATTTTAAGAATACCTCACTTTTAGACTACAAAGAATGGTACTATGCATTAGATGTGTGTAACAAATTCTTCAAAACAATTCTATCACTAGTTTTCTGGCCTCTGTCACATCTTTAGATCAGCTTTTTCAGACTGAAAGGTGAAAAGGAGAGGACCACCCGTCTCAGCTCTCAGCCCAAAGAGCCAAATAGTGACTCACTTTCTTACAAGTATGCAGACACAAGATTGTCAAATAAGAGAAAGCCTCATGTTTTGGTCTAATTTTTTGCTAAACGTTAAGTTAACATGACTTTTGCCAAAAACCCAAACCCAAAATGTATTGTTCATGAGAAAAATAAAAATGTAGATTCATCTTATTTGCAATAAAACCACATTGAAATACAAGTGCAAAAGTAAATAAATAAAACAAGCAAAAAAGTCCAGAAAACAGAGTCACACAACCATCAAGTTTGTATATTCCTGAGTACCTACATCCAGATTATTTAATTATCACAATACTATCTTATTATTATTATTATTATTATTTTCAGATTGTTAATTTATTGTTATTTTTATTGTGGAATACTATGCAAGCTTCTGTGACAACGCAATTTCCCTCGTGGATCAATAAAGTCTGTCTAAGTCTAAGTCTAAGTTCATGTTGTTGATTTGTTGTGGAGGAATTGACTACTTTGTAAAGTCATTCAATACTACTTTTGTGATTTAGGGCTGTAGAAAAATAAATTTGATTGAAATGAAGCATATTTTACCTTGAGAGAACCAGAATTAGTTGAGTTAAAGTGACCCAGACAAACAAGTGTGGACATGTTTGAAGAGTCCAGACAGGTATTAATGGTCCACAAAAGGAAGTAGCCAGAATGTTGTAGTAATCGCTCTCTCCTCTCGTCTCTGGCAGGAGCTGGAGCACGAAGCCGGTCGTCTGAACAGCAGCCTGCAGGACGCGCGGAATACCTGGCTGAGTAAGGCCTTCACCTCCCTGCGGCCCCCCAGCTCGCCCCTGCCTCACGTCGCAGAGACCCGGGAGAGCCAGTCCCTGTTCAGCCTCAAGACACCAGCGTGGAGCATCAAGAAGATCTCGTGGCCGCATCACAGAGAGCTGCAGCAGAACCAGTGAGGAGGCCGAGGACGGAGACCCCCCGGGCTGGACCTGGAGGTCGCACCCAGAGACTGTGGCAGGGCCCTCAGTCCTTACAGGGGCCAAACTGTAGAATAAGCTGTGTAAATATATGATGTGCCTTCAGGGGTCCTAAAACTATGCATGTGGAAGATTCTAAAATAAAACACATTTTCTAGTTATTCAATCGTACGTTTGTGTTTGCACTTATACAGTACTGTTTTTAATGTCAAACTATACTTGTTACTATATGTTACTTTGACTTTTTTTTCTGTGGCAAAGAAATAATAGAAAGAATGGTGTGAATTTGTCCTACTCTCTTCAGAATGTATGTGGAAAAAAACATACATTTGTACTTTTAGGGTCATTTTGTTATTTTTTTATTTTACACTCTGAGAGACACAGGCAGGTGTGTCAAAACAACTCGGCCTGTCTTGCGATCTAGAGATTCAATGTTGATCATTTAGACGGCAATAAAACCAAACTGTTATTTAGGGGTTCATGTGTGTTGGGTGAAAGTTATCAAACTACACACAAGTCACACCAGGGACAATATTTTGACTATTTTTAGCGTAACAACCGGAGGAACAAGAGTCTTTCCTTCATTAAGATGTTCTATGAAGGAAAGAGCCGAATATGCAAAACCATGCTAATTTTCAACACTTGTCCATAAGAGGGCTTTATGGACATAAATATGCAAATTTAAAATACGTACAAAGTAAGTACAAAAATAAAAATAATTAAATGTACAGGTCACTAAATTGCTCCGATTTCAGCCACAGATTCCTACGTCTGAAGGAAATGGTTAAGTCTGTGTGGGAAGATTTGTTTTTTTTGTATTTTTGTTACCCTGTAGCACCCTTGGTTACATATATGCTGCATAAAGTTCAACGGTTATGGCAAAAGAAGTATGACTTTTTGGTTTTAATGTATTTACTAATGTATGTACCCAAGAACCCAAAGAAGAAAATTTGCTACTTTGCCAAATTTGGTCTTTGAATGCTGCTTTTCAAAAATTAGCACGGATCATTTGTATCATTAAATACAGTATGTTTATGTCTGTTTTTTCCGGGGTCAAACCAAAAATCACTACACCATCCTCCCTGACACAAACTCCAATCTCAGTTTTACAACCTCATCAACTCCTAATCATTATTTTTGCTCATTTTTAGAGCCGTCTATTTACACCAGAACTGCCTCAAAAAAAAATGTATATTGCTCCCCGTCCACTTCTCCAAATGTGGCTAGTCCGACAACAAGCAACACCTCAACCACCGAAACTTTCAACACTTGGACTGCCCCTTTGCCACTTACAGTACTTCCTGTATTTTGTACTTTATTCTTCCAAGTACTTTTTCTGTCCAGTCCACACTTCTTGAAGCAGAGAAGACACCAGGGGCCTATGTGACGTAGAGAAAGACGGTTGAGAAGGAGTCCCCTACAGTGAGTTCCTCTTTCATTGTGAGAAGTGGCAAGACTTTAAAGATGCCAGACGCAGACCTTTCCTCAGTCTTTATCAGGAACTTTGTCTGCAGAACGAGAGAGAGAATTTTCACAGAAGACAACTGACTACAGACATTGCTGTTTCAAGGTAAGAGCGGCGAAGGTTGGCCAAAAATGCAGGATATACAGCGGATTACTAATATAAGTATTATATTAACAATTATTTATACAAAACGTTGAGCATTTCTGGAAATATCTGAAACCTGCTGTTCACAAACATATCTAACCTGACATAGCTTGAGTTGTAAAGATGAATGGGCAAAACTTTCAGTCTCTAGATGTGCAAAGCCTGGAAACATATCCCAAAATATTTCAGTATAAGAGGGTCCCACAAAGTATTGACCCTGTAGAAGCCAGAGTTTGTCTTGGTATTTAATGTGAAATAGACAAAAGTTGGAGCCCTGAAGATAGTAAATAAGTGTGTATTAATACAGCACATTTCACAGCCAGAGGTATGTTAACATTAATAACAGAAACAAACAAAATTTAAGAATGTGTAAGAAAATATATAATAAAAATGTATTGCTGTGTAGAAAATTCAATTCCATTCAACGTATTCATGTACTGCCCTAAATCACAACAGCAGCGGTCTCAGAGGACTGTACAAAGTTGATGACTGATAAAAGAATCTAACAGTTCGAACACATGAAATGCAATAATAACAAACACATACTGTCGGAGGCATTGGTCCATAGGGAGCGGGTGATCAACTAAATGTCCATAAATGATCTTAAATGATCCGGATCATCACTCAGCATCAGCAAGTAAAAACTCAAAACAATAACATAGAAAGCCCAGTGGAAAATCAAATGTGAGAAACCTTGGGGAAGCCCACATTGAGACAGGGATCCGCTCTCATGTACAGACATGCTATAGATCCAGATTTCTTTGTTTCTTTGGCACCTGTATATCAACATGTTTTGATTTGCTCCTGTTTTGCAGGTCTCAGTCTCTTTTCTGCCGCCCTCGCCATGTTTGCAATGCTCCTTCTGTGTGTTCTGGGCGCTGAGGCCGTGGATCTGCTCAGGATCGACCACACCACAGCCGCAGGTAAATGTCATCAAAGTAACGATAGTCCACAAAATCAACTGTGTCTTTGTTTTTTCCTGTGTTCAAGATACTATTGAAATGTTTCCACCTCGCACCATTCTGAAAGTAGTTACTATTTACAGTATCTATCAGCTTTATGTGTCCTCTGTGTCTTCTGTTGAATGTGTTCACAAGTTGAAATTATATATATTTGACTGATTTGCAATCTCAAAACAATAATTATAAAATTGTCTTGTACCGTAATCACTCGTCATGTTAATTTATGTCTGTTCCTTTCAGCAAAACTTTGGTCACTATGGTTACCATGGTCACATTAGTATTTCATTTGAGCCAAAATACCTGATCATCGCTGCAGAATGAGTGTATTACAATCTAAAAGACATACAAAAGCTTGGATTCAACAGATAATATAAATATGTTGACCATTTTAGCAAACCAACAAACAAAGCATACATTATTTAAAGCAGTTGAACTCATTGATTTACACACACTGCTTCTTCATGATGCATATTTTGTCTGTACTATGCTTTTTTTAAATTGTCGTCTTGTGTCTCACTCTGTCCCTTCTGCCCTGTCAGCGTCTCACCCTGCTCTGGACGTCCGCTGCCTGTGCTCTAGTGTCCCCAACGGGACCCTGTGTTCGTGGGCAGAGCCTCCCCAGGACACGCCCCTGCACTACATCGCTACATACAGGTAGTCACTGTCTCATGTCTGCAAGCTTTTGGGATGAAATCAACATGAAAAGGGAAAGGACTGTATGAAAGCAACCGATTTATCAGTTCAACGGATCAGTCTTGCAATATATCTGTAATTCAAAACTGGGCTCCAAAAGTATTGAGTGAAAAAAATATTGAGTGAAAATTTTGATTTATATGGATTGAAACTGGATATTGACCCAAATGTTTAGAAATGGAGTGCTCGGGACATATATAACTGACATTCTAATTATTTTTCTCATATGTGAGGCAAAGAATTCATAAGAAAACTAGTGAGAAAATCAAAATGTTTCTGGAGCAAGGAATTCGTTAGTTAGTCAGGCTTTTTGTTCAAGTCATCAGGTAAAACTATACCACAACGTACTCTTAAGTCAACAGTCATTTTAACTAGGACAGTGGAGAGTTTAAGAACTACCAGAACTACCAGAATAACACCAGAACTTGTCTTAACTTATGAATACTGATGTGTATAATGTCTTTGTCAGTGAGAGGCTGCAGCAGAACGTGACCCGGTCGTGTCGCCTCCTTCTCTCTGGAGACCCTCTCCTTCAACACAACACTACGCCCCCAGCCTCCACTCACAAGGTATATACTCTCTCACTGTGAGAAATGTGAGGATTTGTTTCTGATCTCATTTTGACTGTTAATACAATATTTGCCAATGAGACGAGCCAAAGTGACTTGTAACTTCTCACTTTGAAAGAGAAAATATTTGGTACTCGTTCATTTTGCACAACTTTTGTCCTTTTTGATTCTCCCATTGGAAAATCCTGTATTAAAAATCTAAAACAACGGGTAATTTATTGAAGCATTTTCTCTTTTATCCTTTTTTCTTAAAATCTTTATTGCAACATTTAAGTTTTCATGCACAATTTTTGACTTCATCACATTAAACACATTCATAAAACTCGTCTCTTTTAAGGAACACCCCTTCGTTTTAAAAACAGCAGCAAAGTGGTTCATTCAAAACTTTTAATGCACATAGAAATAACTCAAACCAATCCAAAATTGTCTTGAATTTGTTCCGGATAGAGCCAATATTGGATCAGTGAAAATGGATCGAATCATGGAAGCATATTAAAGTTTCAGATTTATTGCAGCTAAAATCTGAAACCTTCTTCCTGGAAATATGAGACAGGCTTCTTCTCTGACAATGTTCAAATCAGGAGTCAAAACAATTCACTCTTTTTAATGTACTGTGATTATCTATGATTTTAATGCCGTGTCTATTTTGTTTTGTTCAGCACTTTGAGTTGCCTTGCACTGAACTGTGTTATACAAATAAACTGGTCTAATGTGTGATGTGTTCCTGGGGTGTGTGCAGGTCTGGACCTGTCACGTTCCTGATGTGAAGCTGCTCACAGACTACATCCTGAACGTGACGACGGTGTCTCCGTCCGGCAGCAGCTCTTACCTCTCCTCCTTCATGATGGAGGACATCGGTAAAACACCTGCTCCTTCCATGGTTTAGAGTCAGACCATACACACATACACACACACACACACACACACACACACATATACACACACACACACACACACACACACACATATACACACACACACACACACACACACGGCCAAACTACAATAACAATGGCACAGATTCAATTTAATCGTAAATCGTTATTCCAGACTCATGATCCACATAAATTATTGAAGATATAGTTTTCTAGCTGCTATGTATTGAACTGTAAGAGTAAAGAAGTGAAAATAGACATACAAAAGTGAAAGTGATATATATAAATAGTATAAAAAACATCATAAAGCGGCAAAAAAAAACGTTAGAACATACAAAGAAATACAGATATTTATTTTAACACTTCCATACTTGCCGCTGCAGTGAAGCCGGACCCTCCTGTGGATGTGCGGGTCAGTTCTCCGGACCCCAGGACTCTGCTGGTGCAGTGGAGCCCCCCGCCCAGCTGGTCTCACATCCACATCTTCCCCCTGAAGTACCGGCTGCAGTACCAGTGGTGGAGCAGGGGCCAGCTCAGGTCCCATCAGGTAAAAGTACAGAATATCACCTCTAGCACCAACGTTACTGCTGCTTGTGCTGGTACTTCCAGCTGTATTCATACGAGAAATAAGGCAACTTCCATTTAAACTAATATCTGCTACAGGTATTATTTATTTACACCACACAGTTTTATTTGTATCTGGATTGACAAGGGGGTAACTACTATTAAAAAAAACGTGTTACAATTTCCACATCAGCCACATCAGGTTCTAAAGTTCTATTTCAGTTGAAGGGCAGAGGACAATACAACTCAATGGGAACAGAGCCATTTTTTTACCGTTAACATTCACTTCTTGAAGAAAGCAATGTAATTTTTTGGATTTTCTAAGATGTAGGACACTAATAACACAATCATTTGTTTTTAAGTTTGTTTTTTTGCACCCCTATATTTTTCATTATAGGCCTTTATCACATGGTTGAGATGCAGTTCGATGGTAAAAGTGCCTAAAACCAAGCATTAAGTAGAAAATCTTTAACCCTTTAATGGTTAAAATTGTTAACAAAACCATTAAAGGGTTAAAGAAATGTTGAGGTTGTGTTTTGTCTCAAGTCTAGAAGTCCTTCTATGGACCAATAGCATACATGTGTTTGTTTGTTTGTTTGTTTTTACATGATTGTCCCCACTTTAAAACACATTTTTGAGAAGTTAGTAAGACCAGAGTTGATAAGTGCAGACAGACAAGATGTGGAATGGCAATGGATTGGTCCAAGACTGACAGGAATTGCAGAAAAATCAGCTCTAAACAAAGACTAGAGACTGGATTTATCACAGTTAGGGTTATAGGGTTGAGGGTTAGTTACTTGGACAGATTGTGATGTGAGATCAAAATGATGTAGGGGAGTTAAGCTTCAAATCATCCCAAGTATTGGTATCAACATCAAGTTTGAAATGTTATTGTTAAAGATTCAAGAATAAATATTTTTGTCCCGGGGAAATTTGTCTTGGGCTCGCTGCTACACTGGAAATACACATGAGACAGACATAAACCATCCCCGCTCTGCTCCATGACCTGCATTCAGGAGGTTTGCAGAGCTTATTGTGTATCTAGAGCAGGGGTCTCCAACCTTTTTCAATCAAAGAACTACTTGTATACAAACTAAGAAGCAGAGAGCTACAGTACTCCTTTTTGCAGTCATAATACAAATGTATCTAATAATTACGGCAAAACATGGAGAACACATTTAAAAAATACCATAATACTGTATCAACCTATTAACACTTATAAGAGATAATTAGAAAAATATTCATTCAAGAACATTTGTTAAATTCTAATTCCTTTGGCGAGCTACCTAAAAGGGGCTGGCGAGTTACTGGTAGTTCACGAGCCACAGGTTGGAGACCCTTGATCTAGAGCTTCCGATGGGTTATGTTCATGCGACATCACACCATTCCAAAGAGCTTATAGCTGAACTCTTGTTACTGCTGTCTCTGGGCAAGACTTTTCACTTTTTGATCCAGAAGGTTTTGTGCCATGTGTCTTTCACTTCCGCCGCTCTCTCCGCTGTAAACTGGTCCATGCGTGTGTTTCAGGTGAGTTTTGAAGGCACCAGAGCGCCCCTCAAAAGCCTGGTGGGGGGTAGGATGTACCAGATACAGCTGTGTGCCAAAGACGCTCTGAGCCTGGGCCACTGCAGCGACTGGAGCCCCGCGGTCAACGCCAGCCTCCCTCTGGTCTAACACCTTCAGACTCTTTTGGAGCCGGGAAAATACAACCACTGCCTTTATTTATTATTTTTTTACTTATTTGTGGAATTTATATTTTTTATATTATTTTGTGGAAATAAAAAGATTTCTATTTGTTTTATTATGTATCAATTGTTGTCTTTATTCATTCCAAATCGCTTTAAATTTTTTGTTGGCTTATTGTGCCTGTTTTTAGTTTTACACAAACACGGGGAGAACATGCAAAATCCAAACCCTGTCTTGAGGTGGAATTAAACCCGGGACCTTTTTGCTTCTGGTTTTGAATGTATATTTTGTATCAGTACAGTGACATTGAAGGTTCAAAAAGTGCCTAGAAAATTTCAACAAACAGGCGTGTCAAACTTAGGCTCGTGGGCCAAATCCGGCCCTTAAGACAATTTTTAGAGGCCCCTGAAATTATATTCAATTATTATGAAAAACTTGCAGCATTGATGGTGGTGGGTTTACCATGTTTTACATCATCTATTCTCACAGCAAGACAAAAAAAATTGAGGTATTCTCTTATTTTAACCCCACACATCACTAGAAGTTAAATAGTTAAATATAAAACAATATGCATAACTTTATATTTGATCCAGTTTTGGTTAAATCTAAACAGTAACCACATTTCGTTTTAAGAAAAGTGTCAAAAAACATCCATATATTAAAAAACAACAACAATAAAAGGAAATACCCTCTTTTCTTCCGGCCCCCGACCAGTTCCTGTCTTTTTTTTCGGTCCCTGACCAAAATGAGTTTTTCCACCCCTGGTTTAAAAACTCAAACAGAAATTTTGATTTGATAGATTTTTTTTATGAAGATGTAATGCGGCAAAGCCATTACACCTTCCCTAAAACTTTATTACATAGAACAAAATACAAAAGCACACTCTGTCATTTGACCACATCCACCACTAGGGGCGTGACAAACTCCGAGTGCCTTATCCCCATGGTGAAGGCGGGTCTGGCGGGCAGGTGCAGGTAGGCCTTCTCTGGGCTGTAGGCTCCGGGGCCGGGCACTGTGGTTGCGTAGCTGGGCCGCTTGGTGCGCGCCTGCATGGAGAATGAGGGCTGGCGGCGGTGCACTGCGTCTGGGTGGATGCTGTTGTACTTGGCGGGCCCCGGGCTCTTGGACAAGTCCTCAGAGGGGGCCCCTACAGTCCTCCGGCCCGAGAAGGTGAAGCTGGCACTGGACGGTTTGTGAGGGACTTGGCTGCCCAGTAAGTTGGGTAAGATGTAGCTATGGAGACGGGAGAGAGTGGTTACTCAAAGATAGTCAAAGATGTGCTACTACTAATCTTCTCTGGATTTTATGAGCTTTTAACCCGTACTTTTTAATATTTTATGTACTTTTTGCTTCAATGTTTTTTTATTATTTTTTTGTTTTTTTTGTAGCATTGTATTTTAATCTGTAGCACTTTAAGGTTTCCAGGAAATGTAAGCTGCAATATAAATAAATTGTATCATTACTATTTTAATTATTATGTTAAATGTCTTAAATCATCTGAAAAAAACACAAAGCTTTTCAGCAATTATCAAGGAAATCAGATCAGTTTTATGTGAAGGAAGGAATATTGGAACGAGAATTATTATTATTTAAGAACAATAAAAATCGAACAACTGAAATATAAGCATAAGAAAAACCACACAAAACAAGTACAAAAGGGACAAGCAAAGACACCAAAGAAAAAGACTAAAAAAATCATAATTGTTTTGGAAAGTTAATGAAATGTGCTGAATGCCAAGATTTGATTAAACAGCTTTGTTACTCCCACCTGCCTTTTATTTACTGATGGTGGTCTGTAGATAAAAGTTATGTATATAAAAAAAAATACATCTTTTTCCATATTGTGCACTTTTTTGAATCCAGCATATACAATAGATCAGGCCATTGGGATGTTGAAAAACCTTATTTAAAACCTTCTTGAAATAATCTTTAGCCATCGAACCAAGCAAGTTTTGTGTACTGTAAGTGAAGTCCTCCTTTTTCCCGTTTCAAGTTCAGTAATCTTTATTTATATACCACCTTTTCACTGCAGATCTGAGTCTCAAAGCGGTTTACAATTGTAAATTTTTTTTTTGGGCATTTGTCTCTCACTCCACACAGAGATGGGAGCGGGGCCAGTACAGGAGGCGCATGCCAGAACTATTGGACATATTTTTAGTGGTAGGGGAAACCGGAGTACCCGGAGGAAACCTACGCAAACACGGGGAGAACATGCAAACTCCACTCAGAAAGGCCCTGGTCCGACCGGGATTCGAACCCAGGACCTTCTTGCTGAGAGGCGAGAGTGCTATCCACTCAGCCACCGTGCCGCCCGTTCAAAGTTCAAAATAAATACATTTCAAGTTTCTGGATGCCAGCGTGTTGTTTTGAGTTACTTTTCTCAATGAGGAAGACAGGAACATGTCAAAATAAAAGGTTTAAACAAACTTCTGACTTTCAAAAGGAGTCTTTACAGCGTATTGCACCCATTATAATGGTGGTAATGGATTAGTTTATTATCCACATGCAGCAATATGAACATTTGTATCATCATTTTTTACAAGTACAACTTATCATAAAAGAGCAGCATGTGCAAAAGAACAAACCCTGATGCTACGAGCGACTTGTGTGTAGTTCTATTACATTCTTTAGCTGAACCATGTGTGTGTGCGCTCTTAACAATACTCCCACACTTCTGACACTAACTCCCGGAGCAGTCACTTTGACGGCTCCCATCAAAATGAGTGTAATTCTGAGAAATCCTCAAAAATCGTTATTTTTTTGCTACTTCAATCCAAATGAAGTAATGCATACAGTTTTCATCTTCAACACACGCCAAAACTAGTTTACATACTGTACATGAAATACAGCGAAAACCAGTCAATTTGACTAGTGTTAAGATTGTATTTGGTCCAGCCTGTTGCTCTCACCTGTTGGGTGCTGGCACGTCGTCCACAGTGCGGTAGCGGGTGCGGGTGCTCATGCTGTAGCGCGGGGGTCTGCGGTGGCCGTTCACTGGGGGGGCCCTCTCTGGACTGTAGGTGCCTGGACCCGGAGTCTGGGACGGCACCCCTGGAACCATCATAATGTTAGAGAATGTTGGTGGCAAAACACAACTGAAACCTAACTAGAACCAATCACACGAGGCCTGTGGTTGACCCAAGAAATAAGGAAGACTAAAAACGTAGTGTTTACTTGTCAGACTCATCAACTATAGCAAAAATAATAAAGCTAGGGTACCTAACTTTTTTCATAAATACTTTTTGGGTAACATTTTGTAAACAAATGAGACCAGATCGGTGGTCCTCTCTTAGTCACTGAAAAAGCCGAAGATGTGACAAAGGCCAAAAACAGCAGTGCCAAAAGCAATAAAAACTGTTTAGAGAGCGAGGAACTAGTTGCCTCAATTTTATAACATTGTTTTGGTGGTTTCAGTTCAATTGGGTTCTCCGGCTTTCAAACCAACATCAATTCGAATTATTGCACTTATATATGTAATATCTTTTTTTGGGCCATTTCTCATATAAATTCATATAATATATATTTTACATTTTTATTTATAAGTCATAGATATTTTTGTCGACGAGGATGCCACCCACCTATTTTAGATTTTGAAATAATATGTGGGAACTCTATAAAAAACAGCCTAAAGCCTGGTTCACACGAGACGATTTTAAAATTGTCGGCCGATTTTTCTCCGTGTTAAGCCTGGTTCACACGGCAGGATATTTAGGCCGATTTAGACCCGATTTACCCCTCACGACAATCTTAAGAAACGCTCCGATTTCCGTAACAAAATCTTACAGATTATCCTGCCGTGTGTGGTGTGTTAAGACTGCACTCGTCGCTCGGAAGGACATCGGGACTGCTCCCGATCTCAAATCGGGGATATCCAACATGTTGGATTGTTTTGGCCCGATTTCTTGTCGTGTGTGGTGTCCTCCGAGGACAAGCGGGCGCGTTGCCATGACTACGGCGTGTAGCCAATAAGACGACGAGGTGACAAGCCGGTGAGGAAACACCGGAAAAAAACCAAAACACAGCAGCATGGCTTTGACCATTGCCTTTTCTTTGGATTACGTGTCTTCTCTGTTAACAACAAACTGCACACTATCGCCACTGCATCCTCTTCGTCCGCCATGACTGTTTACTCTGAAGTCACGCTTGATCTCGAGAGATTTTGTGAGATTTACGTCTGACCTGGGAATGCTCGGGGGGGGGGGGTGTCGGTTCGTGTGTGATGTTTGTGGCTTGCGTGATCTTGCCGTGTGGCTACGCACCACACACTGCACGACCAAAGTGGTTAGACGCAGGATTTTTAATCTCCCCGTGTGGGGTCTAACACGGAGAAAAATCGGCCGACAATTTTAAAATCGTCTCGTGTGAACCAGGCTTTAGACCCCACACGGGGAGATTAAAAATCCTGCGTCTAACCACTTTGGTCGTGGTTAGACTGCTCTGGATCGGCCTAAATATCCTGCCGTGTGAACCAGGCTTAAGGTGAGATCTGAGTGCTGCCAACGGAGAGAATAAAACTAAACTGAAAGGGGATTATCACATTTTCACAGACCCAGGGTTGCCAGAAAAAGTGAGGGACATTATTTTTAAGGTTAAGGCCGTTTGAATCAGTGGTCAGGGGTTTGGAGCGTTTTTTAAATTCTCTTTTGTTTCTTTTCTTCGAATCAGAAATGCACCATTTTAAGTTTTATTTTTTTGCAATAACATAAATAATAAACAAACAAAACAAAAACAGGGCAACCGAGCATCATTATAAAAAATAATGGCAGGCTGTGACGTGACAGAAATGTGTTTTTACAGTCACATCAGCGCGGTATTTGATGAAGGCACCAACATTGTAACATCCTTCAAGGGGGAAAGAGGTTGACTTTGTGTCCAACTTATCTTCTTATCCAAGCAGTATTAGTGTTGTTACCTAAGCGCTTCCCTCGGCCCAGGATGGAGTAGGAGGGGGTCTGTGTGCGGCCGAACCTGGTGACCCGGGCGTCCACGCTGTACCTGGGGCCTGGACTGGAGTCGATGGACACCACTGCAGACAGCAACATTCACATGATATCGCAGAATTCTCAACAGTGGCGGCTGGTGGAATTTTCTACTGGGGGGGCTATGAATATGATGACTAGATATAAATGCACCACAGAATTTGACACAGTCTATTATTTTTGATAGGATGTGCCTATTCTTGTCAACCTCCTCATTGTGCTTTCTGATCCCTACCCTGTAGCTTTCATCCAGCTGGGATGAAATATTTATCTTCCCAAACATAGCTAATTTGAGGGCATTTTGCATGTGGATACCAGTCTGCTCATGCTTCTTTGCCTTTTCTAAAAAGTGCTTCAGATCAGTCATACCTGTCTTGATCCATGCTGGGTCAGATCCTGATGTTTGAAACAAGAGGCATGGAAAGCAAAATAAAGCATTAGCCTCGCTACATGCTGCAAGCCAAGATTTGGCGCTGAACCAGGTCCTGGAAAAAGTACGAGTGTACCGTCTCCCTCTGTCGCTGGACTGCTGACTAATGGTAATATTTGGCTGATCAGGTCCAAGCTCTTTAACCTCAACCTTCTCCTGGTATGATCTTCTCTCAAACGGTATTGTTTTGAGTGATCTAACTGAATTATTCTTTTTTTCGTTCTCCATGTTGCGTCTGTTTACGTTCGTCTCAAACTCCCACAGCTTGACCTGTCAATCACTGTAAACGGACGTCACAGACAGTGACAGTACAGGTCGCGGGCGATCCCGCCCCCTCAGGGCGCACTTCTCCTGCGCCCCCAAATCGTCTTATCTCTTGCATTGAAGAGGAGCTACTGCGCATGTACAACTTTTAACGAGAGTCCATAGACGGCTCAGGGCGCAATCTTTTGCGCCCTGAGGCGGAAATACGTCCTCAGTCCGACACAGACAGCGCTGATGAGCTTAATCAATCCAACTCAGCATAAACTATAAAGTATTTCTTCCACATCTGAAATAAAACACACATACATTTCGAAATATTTTAATGTTATTATTTTTTTTAACGTTTTATTCAAGGTAACATGGCAAGTTGTGAGTGGTGGGGCGGCGCCCTAGCGCCCTCTATTGGCCGGCCGCCACTGATTCTCAACAGTCCATAGTTTCAGAGAGCAGAGAGGGACAAAGCGAAATGTTTTTGACCATTCTCTGGTTTTCATGCAGGGCGTTTACCCTTCATTATATTTTTTTGTTCTCCGTAATGCACTCAGTTTTGGCTGTCCATAGTTTTACTTTGAGTCAGGCCAGTTTTCAAAGGTCAACTTGTAAAACGCATGTGTTGTTTAGGGTTCATTAATAAACTAGAAAAAGTTCCTATCTGGTATCCACCCAGCAATACTGTGACCATAAATAAATTTACATACTAGACCAGCGGTTCTCAACTGGTGGGTCCGAACCATAGACTGTATATATTATACAGTATATATATTTAGTCCGAACTCAAATATAGATTGTGGAATTATTCTCAGTGTGTCCAGGGATTAGTATCTACACTGCAATAATGTCATCGAGAAATAAACAAAACATAAAATTTAAGAAATGTGTCCATGATAAATAACAAATAATTATAAAATACTTTATTGGAATTAGATACTTTACTCATTGACAAATAAACTCATTTCAATAAAAATAAAACAATTATTTCCTTGATTTCAAAGTCTGTTGGAGGAATTGTGTTGCAGTGGTAGTTATTTGTGATAGTAGTGCTTTAGAAATAGTAGTAGCAGTAGTAGCAGTATCAGCAGTACTCACTGGCGCTGCTCTGGCGGCTGTGGAAGGTGTACGCAGGACTGGAGGGTTTGGTGAAGTCGTGCCTCATGTAGCCCACAGTGGGAGGCAGCGCGTAGCGGCCCGGCCCGGGACCTGCACACACACACAAACACACACACACACACGCACACACACACACAAATCAGACCACTACATGTTGTCTTCATCTCTGCATAGAAAGTGGATTGGCTGAGAGAGGGTGGTTCTCTCTTTTTCTATTTTCTGTCTGAAGAATCTGATCTTAAGAAGAAGAGGCCAATAAGGCATGCACTGCAAAAAGTGATGGGAAATGGCTCAAATTTGGCAAAATGTATCTTAATTTGCGTACATTTTGACTGTCCTAAAATACGCTTATTGTGCTTTAAAAAAGAAATAAGACTAAACGGCTTTGTCCCAATGGAAAATATTGTTTTAAGACAGTCAGTATGTACTAAGATAAAAACCACTCCATTCAAGCATTTAATACCTCATATGTTATCATTTTTTGCAGTGTGCATGTGAAAACTAGTGATGGAACCTAACTGTTTTGACAGCAAAGAACTCGTTTCATAGATTTTACAACACATAGTTAATTTATCTTGGTAATTTGAAAGTGCCCCGGCCAAAAGTGCAAACCAAATACACCCTAAATTTCCCAACAATATTTTTCTCTAAGTACACATGTTGCCAGAGCTGCAAATACTTGACCCTTCGGCAAGGCCCACCCACTCGCCTGCTTCCCGCACAGAGCCTTATTTCCTATGGTTACCCTTTCATTTCCTGCCACTTGTTTACTAATTCCAAAAAAAGCCATGCGCAGAATTAGATTATAATGCATTCCACATGAAGACATTATTATAACCGTACCTCGCTCCCGTGCAGAGATGATGGGCCTCTTTCTCCCAGCTTCTTCCATGCTCCTGTCCCTCTCTCTCAGCTCTGTTGCTTTCGTTGCTTTGCCGCTGTCACTTAAAAGGACATATTTTATTTCCTTGTGGCTTCTCAGCGTGTCGGAGTGGATGAATTATAAATGAGCACAAGTAAAAGAAACCACTACAACGCTGGGGAGAATCCTCGACAGGCCTCGAATGACTATTACACACACACAAATCAATGAAGTCGGTCTCCATGGTGATGTTACTAAACCACACTATACAAGTCTGGGTCTGGGGTAAAGATAAATGTAAACGTAAGGACAGTTCATCTGCTGAATAATGCAAGCAGCACTTCGCTTACACTTTCCCTTTGTTTGGAGAGCTGTTAAAGCTGGGGTACCTAACTTTCAAAGATCAAACCATTTGGCAAAGTCTTAAAATACGTACATAACGAGTTTCTTGCTCTCAAAACAGGTTGTTCTATCCGTAGTTTTTGTGTAACGTGTAATTTAGCCTTTTCCAACAGAAAAGTGAAAAAGACTGGACCACCTTCACTCAGCCTATAGCAGCTCAGAGGAAGACGATGAGAGCTCGGGGTAAAGCCGCTGCTCCTCCACGTCGAGAAGAAACAGCTGAAAAGAATGACAATAATGATAATGCATTTTAATTATAGCACTTTTTGGACACTCAAAGACGCTTCACATGTCTTTCACTCTTTCACTCCATACACGGTGGTGATAAACTACAGTAGCCACAGCTGCCCTGGGGCACACTGGCATGCTGAGGAGGCATTATTTTGTCTTCCGTGGGGAGCAGTTCTGGATATGTCGGGCACGTTGGAGGGACAAGTCTCTCAGCTGTCCTGGGAACTCTTTTTTCTTATGAACATATTGTTTCTATTGTGAACCTGTTCAAATATGAGTCACTAAAGACTCTTTGGGCTGAGTGAGGCTGGTCCACTCTGTTACATCTGTTCTGAAATGTTGTTCTTGAGATAAACCAAAACCTCTGTGATGATATTTTTGTGTTTCCATGATTGGAGCGTCAGGTCCTCCAGCTTCAAGGCCGATATAAAATGAAATAAAATGCGGAATTGTGCATTTCTGCCCAGGAGTGTCTGGTGCTGCTCTTAATTTGAGCTCCAATGTCCAATAACATTGTTAAACATTCAGTGCAGTTGTCACGGTAATCACCAAAACAATGAGGTCATGTCAAACACATTTGACAACGTGAACTGTTACCAAGTGCAACGTTTAGAGTCGGATCTAAATAATTGAATTGCATAGACTCAAAATGTTCAAAATTCTCAAAAGTTACTCTATTTGTCATGTTTTAACATTTTCTGAGGTGGACATCAAAAACAATATAACTAACGCCTTGTACCAGTAATTAATATTTCAGAGAACTATTGACATTGCATGAAAAAAACATATACAATGTGCCTTTTTGGATTTTAAAGTAAAAGCATTATTTCTAAGAGTAAGTTGATTTTCATTATAAAAGCATAACGTAATGTCCCGCTTCTGCCACTAGAGGAACGTGTTGCCATAATTTTTTGCCATTTCTTTACTACCAGTATATAAAATACGACAGGAAACTAGTTCCATGATCTTGGTTCTTTGTTTGAAAAGCGCTTTACAAATAAAGATCTATTGACTATAGTTTAATATCACTAGTACCAGTCCTTACTCAGCCAATCAGCTCTCAGTGTATAAATTATGATCAATGTTTTCCAACAAGATAAAGACAGAATGTTGTTTTGTTACTCAAACACATTTTAAAACAGGACATTTGTTGTATATTAGAATACCTCAAGATTATGTTTAAGAAGAAAACAAAAACATTAATTCATTCAATCATTTCATATGCATAGAGCGGACTTGGCAACGTTACAGTCAAATTATTTGTTGTATTACCCCCTCCTTCACATGTCTCCCAAAACACACACACACACACACACACATGTAACTAAAGCAGGTCTGCACTAACCCCTCTCCAACATTACACCAGTTCTCCGGTATCCGCATCACATCACTGACTACACCACTGCTCCTGCTCCTGCTGCTGCCGCTCCTGCTGCTGCTGCTCCTGCTGCTGTCACTGGGCCAAGATTTATTGCAGACACCTGAGTCCATCTGGAAGTGTCTCATTATCAGTCTAATGCATTGGTTCCCAAAGTGGGGGTCTTGGGACACTAGCTGGCAGTTGCCAATTGTGCAAATTGTTCCACTTAAAAAAAAAGAGAAAACAAAAGCTCACATCAACGAAGGAATTTGGAAAAAATAAAGCCAAGAAATGTATCAATTTATTTGTATAATGGGACGTGAAAGATTTGACCAATAACTTCAACTCAATACTTTGTAATGTAATCTCTGTTGGCAATAACACAAGTCGAAAGTTTTCCATAGCTCGTCACCAGGTTCCCATACATTGATGTTTTGTCCCATTCTTCCATGCAGATCTTCCTTTCCACAGTGATTTTTTTTCCACTCCCTCTACAGATTTTCTTTCATGTCGAGGTCTGCAGACTGGTTGGCCCCTCCAGGATCTTGGCTTCTTATGGAGTCAGGCTGGAAGACCAAAGCACGTTTCGTATCTTCAGTGTTGTCACAGATGGAAGAAGGTTCTCACAATACATGGCCCCATTCATCCATCCCCTAGTACGGATCAGTCGTCTTATCCCCTTTGCAGGAAAGCAGCCCCAAACCATCATGTTTCCACCCCCAAGATTCAAATGATCAAATATACATGTGTTCTTGGAGAGTGTATACCCTGCCAATACTACAGATCAAACTCTCACTCACACACACTACACACACTCATATACACCGACACACCAACACACACATATTCTATTGATATTCATGGCCATAAACATGCTACTACCAAAAGACTCACACTTACAAAGCAATAATTTCATAAAAACGACACAAGATACTTTTATTGTTTCTGTCTATATGCAAATACTTTAGCTGAATCGTACTTTTACACAATCAAACAGATGATACAAATACGTATATACAGTGCATAATAAATAAATTATATGATAGACTACATAACATTATGACACTACTGAAAAACTCCTCATTCACTGGACAAAACAATATACAATGGACTGCGGAACAGGCCTTCAGTCAGCTAACATTTTAACATAATTTAGCACTAGAAATACACTTTTACACACGTTTAAATAATGCAGTACAAAAAGGGGTGGCACGCGTCTCCGCTGGGGGTCCGGCAGGTTGCATTGTCTTTGCTTCCACTTATTTCAAGTGTCTCTGTTTTAACATTGTGGCATCTGCAAACCAAAGTCTGTCTGCTTGTATCTATCAAGCGGGAAGCAATCCTCCCGAAGAAGTCAATATCCCTCCACGGTCTCACGCTACGACTTATCCCCTGGTAGAACCTGGAAGCAAAACAGACAAATGTACTTCACAATGTCACGTGATTATAGTGGTGTGTTGTGTAAGTCTGTCACCATCATAGAACTATAATGGTGCTATCACGTTATTCACACTATGAGGGTATTTGAAAAATGTTTATATATTTATCTGTTTTTGCTCACCATTTTCCCAGATTTTTACCTTGACCCAAAGCCAAAATACTACGTCCAAACAATAGACCCATTTTTATAAAAAACTGGTAATCATCATCTTCATAGACCATGGATTAGATAGATCTCTGGTCACACTCTTCCCTCACTAGACACACTCTACATTAGATGCATCACACAGAATCACCTCAGACCACACACACCCAGCCCATCATCTGCTCCCATTCCTGCCCTCAGGGAGGCGCTATTGGTTCATTTCTTGCAAATCAGTTTGCCTCAAAAACAGCTTCTTTCCCACTGCCATTCGGCCCCTCAACCAATCCCTAATGTGAAACATCCCTGTTGTTGCTCATGTATGATTCTGATAGAGAAATATATATCTGTGAACTGTATTTGAAAAAATAAATATGACCCCAATGTGCAGCTGTTCCCAATTTTTATGTTTTTATGTTTTACTTTTATTTATGTATGTGCAATTTGTCTTTTATCTTTATTATTTATGTTTATCATATTGAACACTTTATGTTTCCTGATTTTGTTACACAGCACAATACTAAAACAAGCAGAGGGGCTGTAATTCATCACAATGAACCAAATGAGTGAGGGGTATATTCTGTATGCGTCCAAATACATATGTTTATATTGGCTTTTCCTTGCACCCCTAAATGCATCAGGTGCCCGAGTCTAAATAGGATCTGGTTTGCATGAGCCTGTGCCAGAGTAGAAATAGTTAGATCCAGTTAGGCCAAACAGAGTTGATTTCACGCCTCATTTACTTCACATAAGGTTACATAAAGGTTAAGCGAGGGATCAGGTTTTCACTTGTGCTTTGGAAACTTAATGTTTTAAATGTTAGAACCTCTCATGTTGCCCCACAGAGGGCCACTTTTGGAAGAACTGCCACAGAAAATATAGTCTACAATTTAATTCAGTTCATTTTTGTATAAGTCACAACAGCAGTCGTCTCAGAGGATTTTACAAGTTGTCGATTTGCCAACACATGAGAGAATCAAACACTTCAAAAACAGGAAACGCAATAATAATAAAAACATGGCCACTGTCCAAATATGTTTAATCATCACCATTGAAAGGTCTTGTCTAAAGATCAACTCGTGAAAAATGGGAGCAAAAACAAAAGTCATAATTGTTGGTACACTACAATTGGAGTTTGTGTTAGGCCGGTATAGTGCTGTGGTGTGGTGCTGCCATGGCGATGCTTACCTACCTGGTTGCGGCTTTTGTGTGACTTCTGCATGAGCCCCCTCCACTGGTCGTACATCTTCATGGACATGCTGCTGCAGCCGTAGGCGTGTTTACGCACCCAGCCGAAGAACTGCTTCAGCTCCCGCCGCAGCGTGGAGTTGGAGTCCGCGCTGGATTTGGAGTCGCATGAGCCGGGCATCACCACTGAGAAGAGGCACCAGAGATTTGGTTTAGTTCAGGGCTTCTCACATGAAAACATTGCGAACATTATTGGTCATGTTTAAAAGCTAGGAACAAAACATAAAAACAAATACAATAAATTACAACCTAAGAAAATAAAAAAGCTTTATCTGAAGAGTTCCAGTACAGGTTAAACTCGGATAGTTAGAATATTGTATGAAAGTTAATTTAATGTGAAACTACTGAATTAAAGTGAGATGTTTGAACCACATCCCCACGACTCACGCAAAGCAACATATCCTGGAGCATTGTGCTGACCTACTGCAGACATCAGAGGGTCAAAAGTTTTAAGCAAACCTTATATTCCACTTTAAATCCCTGCTTAAGACGCACATTTCCTCTTTGGCTTTTAGTACCAGGGAGCTAGAGACATATTTTTTTATTTTTCATGTTCATTGTATATGTATAATGTTTTTTCTTCTATTGTGTTTTTATTGTTGCTGTTTCTCACTTGTTTTTACTTTGTGAGATTAATACAGTTTATCTTGTCTTTACAGCACTTTGGTAAACAGGCTGTTTTAAATGTGCTTTACGAATAAAATAATATTATGGATTGATTGATTTAAACTCTTTCACTTGGGCTAAACATATCAGGTAGTTTTCCACACACATGAAAGAGCGACCTGCACATTTTTGTTGAATCTGTAGCTCTCAAATGAACAATAGAATCGGAGGAACAATCAGAGCCATAGAAGTCCGTATATTTATATACAGTATACACTTTGAACTTTTTCTTGTTGCTTTATTGTTTTACATTTCCAGTGACAAAACAACATGATCAGAACCGTCCACGTCAGGCAGGATTCAACTAGGAGAGGAACATTGTTATTGATTACTGCAGCAGTCCATCTTGAAGTGGTTTGAGTGAGCTTACTGCTACCAAACATTACATAAAAGAATGTTTATTTTAGGATTGACTTTGAGTTATTTGGAACCGAGCGGCGAATGTTGAAGCCTGTTTTTTGAGTCCGAGAGGGTCTTTCTCAGATGAGGGCTGTCTCTGCCATTCAGCCAGATGCAAAACAGTGCAGTGGGACCAGGCCAGGGACTCGGCCTCACACACAACACTAACAAGACATACAGCCAGGACCAAGGCACAAACTGGGACTGGACCAGGACTTATGGGAATCAGGATTGAAACAGGACTTAAGGGAATCAGAATTGGATCTTACATATATACATATACACATATATACTAACCCTAACCCTAACCCAAATAGCAACAATTCAACAAATCCTTTAATGCATTGGTTTATATATTGCTTTTCAGGACACTCAAAGACGCTTCAAATGTCATTATTCTTTTACTCCATACACGGTGTTGATAAACTATCTATGTAGCCACAGCTGCCCTGGGGCACACTGACAGAAGCGAGGCAACCAGTATGCACCATCAGCCCCTCCGACCACTACCAACCATTCACACACACACCAGACTCATTCGAGGCAATGTGGGTGAAGTGTCTTGCCTGAGGACACAATGACACTTTGGCATTTTACAGCCGCAACCGCCCCACTGTGGCCCTTGATGTACCCAGAGGTCTCCCATCATAGAACTAACCAGGCCCTGCCCTGCACAGCTTCAGAGGTCTGAGGGGATCTGGAAATCCACATGCAAGTTTGGCCAAATATTAAAATGTCTTTGCAACCAGGAAAACTAGGAACAGGATATAAACAGTATACGATTCTTTTTGTCTTCCTTCTGTTTCTGTTTGCTCGTGTTGCACAAATGTAATGACAATTTATAGGATGCATGTATGTATTATGATGACATGGACAAATACATGAATAAATAATAAAAAATATATAAATCCAAAAAGGTATCTAATAAGCCTAAATTAATGAGTAGACATCCATGCTTGCATTTACACAAAAGCAGGTCATAAGTCTCTTTGTTCCATGGCCAAACTCGCAATAAAAAGGCAGAGCGCTGGTGTGTCCTATCTTCTCTGTCTTGTGCACACCTGAGGAAGTCTTGTGGTTTTACTGCAAATGGCAAATAAAATCTTGAATCTTGAATATTGAACTAGGACAGAACTTTTCAACCTTGTTTTTTCTTGAGAGAGGAGCCGGGGACCAGAGGATTATTTGGTTTTGCTTGGCATTGATTATGAAGACGAACTTTCATGTTTGACAAAAATGAAAACTCGAAATCAATCCTTAAAGAAACATTCTTTCAGGAAATGTTTGGTAGTATTAATCTCACTCAAATGACTTCAAACACAGTGGTCCTCTCATTGTTGAAAGCTGTTTGACGTGAATGGTACTGAGTTTTATCATCATCGATTCTGACTTTTTTTACATTAGTGTCAGGAAGAATGGGCCAAACTTCCACCAATTTCAGCTTGTGGAGGCTACCCAACATTATAGGCCCAAGTTAAACAGTTTAAAGGTAATTCTAATAAATATATATGAACACCTAACCCTCTGATGATGTAATGAATAAAATAAATAAATGAAATAAATCTTGTTTTTTTTTTTTACATTATGTAATCACAATAATATTAAAGGTGAAAAATACTGAGCACAATTAGAAAAATAAAGAAACAAAATGATTGAAAATTGTATTGATCTACATGACCTGGCGCAAAAAAAGTTGTACAAAGATTCTTTACCATTTGTGGAAAAGTATTTTTGCACAGGTAAACTTATGACTTTACTGTAATTATGCCCGATTTACTTTTCAGTATCTCATGTTCTATATATTGACCAATTTTCACAATGATTGCACAGTCAAAGACCAGATTGTCAAAACACCACAGTTTGGCTCATGCAGAACAACATAAAATACTGGATTTCTGTCATGGCCTAAACCAAAAACATTTAAACTCTGAATAGTGATCCGAGTAACGAATCCGTATGACATCTAGCCTTTTGCTAATCCAGGACTGGACCAGCTCAAGAACCCTTCAAACATATGAAAAAACCTTCCAGCCATGATCTCACCGGTCTGCGGGGTGGAGGCTGCAGTGGGATGGCTCCACTCGCTCCAGATGCCAGCTTTGCGAGAGCCGTAAATGCCCACTGGGTTACAGCGCACCTGAACGCAACACAATAAATGACATTATATTACACACAGGCAAAAGTGATTAACCGGACACATGGGCGGCAGAGACGAGCCAGGTTGCTATGGCGGACCTCAAAAAACAATAGCATAATTTAGAACATGTTTTTGAGAGAATGTGAAAAAGGGACTGCCATCGGAGCACAGATCGTGTATTGTTGCTGAAGGATTGGAGGCGGTGTACGGTTATTGAAGAAAGATGATTTTAATAATGCGGAAGAATGGTTTCTCATGGTGGAGCTAAGTGCACTGCTGCTGTACGCATCATCAGAGCTGGCCAAAGCGGTGATTGTCAGAAAGACTTTGTGATCTCCTCGTCCCATGTCCCAGAAATGCCTCTACAGTTGGATTGTTTCGTTATGTGAAAGAGAGCAGAGATACAGATAGTGATGATCTGGGACATGTTTGGACATTTACGTACATTTATTTACATTTATGGACATTTATTTACATTTATGGACATTTATTTACATTTATTTACATTTACAGACATTGGTCATCCTCCTGCCCCTATGGACCAATGGCTTCTATGTGTTACTATTGTGTTTCCTGTTTGAACTAATGCCTTCTCTCAAGGTGAAGTTTAAAATGTGTTTGCTCTTCTGTCGTAAGAGTTTTACAGCGGGTTGAAAAAGTTATACATATAGAATCACAGTTGTATATAGTAGTAATTTGAAGAGATGTTTAGTTTTATTTTATGCATGCCTCATTCTATTCTCTACTTTAGAACTTGTTTGCACGGAGGGCCAAAGCAATTTTCTCGTCTGTGACTTCTTGTTACTCACATGGAAAGAAAGGATTCTGATTCCGATCCCAACCACAATGTTTTTAGTTATTTTTCCAATGAAGAATCTTATGCTGCCATTACTGGAGTGAGGCTTCAGGGGCATGTATTGAGGAGCTTGATTCTTCTTTGCAAAACAACCGAAGCTCTATCCCATTTGTGAACAGCAGCTTTAAGATCTTGGAGAGATCTTGTTTGGATAAATCCAAAATGAGAACAGATTGTGACATTTGGAGATCTGGAGACACCAGGTGCCACAGTGGGAAGGCTGTAGCCCTTAAGTGCCAAACTTTTGTTGTGACCTTAGGCACGACACTTCACCCACATTGCCTTGTATGAGTCTGGTCTCTGGTATGTGAGAGAATGTTTGCTTGGAGGGAACCTACATATTTAAATCTAAAAATTTAGGCATTCCAGCTTTAAAATGTAGCTGTGCTTGTGTATAGTAGTAGTAAGTAAGTAATCTTTATTTATATACCGCCTTTTCACTGCACATCGGAGTCTCAAAGCGGTTTACAGTTGTTATTTTTTGGGAGTGGGGTGCCAGTACAGGAGCACCCAGAGGAAACCTAGGCAGACACGGGGAGAACATGCAAACTCCACTCAGAAAGGCCCTGGTCCAACCGGGATTCGAACCCAGGACCTTCTTGCTGAGATGCGAGAGTGCTATCCACTCAGCCACCGTGCCGCCCATATAGTTATTTTGTTGTATAAATGTCAGTCTATGATGAATAGCAACTAGAACATATATGGGAGGAGATAAATGTAGGTCCGCTGGGCATGGACACTGCAAATTTGTAATAATTTATATTAATTTAAGCACATTCTGACTGCCTTAAAACAAGATTTGCCAATGGGACAAGCAAAATTATCTTGTTTCAAAAAGATAAAAGAATTGTCTCCCTTGGAATGAGAAAATAAACACTTCTTGAAATGAATTAATTGTGTACTGTGGCAAATCAGAATGTACTCAAATTAGGATAAAAATAACTTAATTTAAGCAATTACTACCTTGTATTTTAACATGTTTTGCTCAATCCAAAAGTGAATGTTGTAAGTTGCATGTTACTGATATCCTTTCGAACTAGAATCTAAAACGCAGCATTTCAGCAGCAGTCACTTCTGATGGACATTTTTGTGGCTAAACTCAAACTGGATTTGGCTCAGGGAAAATCCACACAAGTCTCCCAGAAACAACAACAAGGCTTTTCCCTCTAAACTGGAGCGAGCGCTGGGACCAAACACACAACGTACTTGGACAAAGTAAACCGTTCCGTGCCGGAGCCCCGCCAGTCGACACGAGGTCTGGTTCCCCACGTCTTCTATCACCTAGACCACACAGAGACAACACACACCATTTCCATCTCAATTTACTTTTTGGACTCAATAAATACAGTAAATTCAAAAGTGTTTGGGAAACTCTTTTTGCAACAAAACCTCATACAATGAAACATGGAGCAAAAATGCAGCAATAACATTTTTAACAGATACTATACCAATGATACACAGTAAAAAGAATACACAGGAAAAGATTAAAAAACAATATTTTTGAACGTTATAAAAATGAAGAAAAACACATTTTAATTAAATATGCAGGAAAATATAAGCACTTTTTGAGTAGCAATGAATTTTCTTTGTTAAACTAAACTAATCTATTTAGTGTTCAAAAAGTTGGGGAATGATATTGAATCGGGGATGATATTTTATTAAATCTGGGGTATCTCACTTTGTATTCCTAAAAACAGAAAGAGAAAAATAAAAGTAAAATGGTGGGAACAAATTGGACCACAACATTTTTTAAGACATTTGATATTATCCATGTAAGAAAGAGTTCCCTGTGAGTCACAGTTTGCAGTATCGTACAATTGATGCATGAACGTCGCAGGGCTACTCTGTATAATCAGAATCAGAATTTGTTTTATTGCCAATATACGTAACAGGAAGTCAAACACTGTTTGCTTTGGTTCATGCTGCTAACAAGTAAAAATTGGATATAAAACATGAATGAAAGGTTTTTTATGAAGATTTTGAATTTCAAATTAGGTTGAATTTTTCCATTTGAAATTTGTAACCATGAAAAAGCATGTTTGAATAATTTTTCCTTTGCATTTCAGTCACTAAAATATCCATTTACAAATTACAATGTGATTAAAGTTTCAAAATAACATATTCGCCTTTAAAATATCCAATATGTTTATTTTAGAGCCCTCAAATTCAATGCACCGTGAAATTCGATAAAATTGTATTAATTTTTTTTATGAGTGAAATGTAAAGACAAACATTTTCAAACATTGCTTTTTCAGGGTTAAAATTTAAATGGAAAAATTCCAGCTCATTTAAAACTCAAAATCTTATGATGCAAAAAATAATCCATGAGCATCAAAAAATCTTCTACTGAAAACAAGTGCACACAATAGACCTTAAACAGTGCAGGTTTAAGTAACAGTAGCATGAGGTAGGACGTATTATGCATTAAGAGACGATAGGGATGAGCCAAGACTCCCATCTAGTGGTGGATGTGGGGACATTCTGCTACGAAAGACAGAAAACAACTCTTTCTGGAACTTTGTAGATAACAGAGTTTTCAAATAAAGCGATTCCACAGAAGGGACGGGGGGAGGGGGGGATTCTTGTTGATTTCTCCCTGAGGTTTATCGCTCAGGAATATTTCAATTTTCCCAGTAGGAAAGTCTGCATTTGACCCATCCCTCAAAGACCTCTGGGGCAGTCTGTCAGGAGCAGCGCCTCGGGGCCCACCTCCAGATGTGGATGCTCTCTGCTGGACTTTAACGCTCGGGTACCTAACTTTTGAAAACCACCAAACTACTGGTAAGTAACAACATTTATCAAAAAGTTGGCATGTTGGCCCCTTTCACATCAGACAGAAACATGAAAAGGAGAGGATCACCGTCATCAGCCAATCAGTTGCAGCTCAAATAGTGACTCACAGGGCTCTTTCTTACACATTTGAAGGATGGCACGTTTTCTAATGAGACAAAAACAGCATGGAGTGGTCTGATTTTGTCCTGGGTCGTCTGGGGGAAGACGAAAAATCAAGATTTTTTGTTTCTTCAAATTTCTCTCATGTAAAATGAGCTGAGGCAAAACATTGGATTATTGTTGATAATCTAAATTAAGAAAAGTTGATTTTTGGCCCTATATTTTGTTTCTTTTTTTCAATATATAGGAATAGCTGTACAAAAAGACAAACAGAAATACTTTAAATGGTCAACATGATTCTTTAGTATTGTGTACAGCTCTACACATTGCCAAATGTTATGGCAATGACAAGCGAGACAGCAAGTGAGGGCGCTTCAGCAGAAGGACCAGGCATGACAGAAGTTTATCACTGAAGAGCATGAAAGGGCACTGACGCCATCTCCCACAACCGGGCGACCCCAGACCATGTGTAAAAGGTCCTGACTCCACCATTGTGCAGACCGGATTAGCTGGTGTCATGATGGTGTAAAGTAAGTCCTATATGTACAAAGATCAAAAGCATCTTCTGCTTTTAGTGGTTTGAGTTTTAGAGGAACAGCGAAACTAAGTTAGTTAGTTAGGAACCCCATCTTTCACTATGACTATACATATATGTTGACTTAATATAAAAATCATGTAATCAATCAAGACAAAAAAAACAAGATGATACATTTTTCAATCTGCTTCTCCACTCTGGACCCCTCTCTCCAAACCCCACATGTCCTCCTGGCCTGCGCACGCCGCCACACCGTTTGATCAGCGTGTTTATAAAAATATCCTTTGCGTTTTTCCCCCCGTGGCTCAAATATGTAAGTGCGCACACATGACCCCAGGAGGCGACGGGACAGGTACTGGCCCAAACACTCTGCAGTTAATAACCGCGCTAATAGACCGGAGTCTTTCTCTGGCATGCCCAATCTAAACACTTGTTAAGAGCACGTCCAACGCAAAACAGAGCCGGGGAAATTACAAGTGCGCGTCTTCCCTCCGCGGACATGTTGAAGACATTAACAGCTGAGATGGATCCCCGCGTTCCAAAGAATGAGCTCATGATTAGGGCAAATGGACTGTTTTCACCAGGCCCTAAAGAGCGAGCCACTGGGAGACCGTGCGCGCAAGAAAATCAAAGCGTGGTCGCGGCGTTCGCTGAGAAAGACGTTTAAAAAGGCATTCTGTGATGACGTTTGGAGTGAGGAATATTGGGTGTGATTAAAGGGACATTAGAAAAGCGGGGAATGGTTGTGTTTTTAGAGTGAGACAATGTGGAGCGATGAGCTGGGAGGGGCGCCTGTGGACTTAGTTTTATGTAGATAATTAATAAACTTTAATCCGCTTTTTGTTTGTGATTAATTTGGATTTTTTCATTTTTTTAGCAAGCTTGAAATCATAAAACGTTAACTTTTAGTAGTGCGTGGTCATTGTGGTCATTTCTACTGCTGGCCTACAAAGACAAGTTGCCAAACATATTAACTTAAATATTAGATTTTAGATTACATTGTTTGCTTACTTTTAAAATCCGATAAGTTCCTGTCTTTAGCAATTGCATCAAATTATTATCGCAATGGCAAACCCACAGTCCAATTCTATTTACATGATGAACAGAGACCATTTCACTGCATTGTTTCTTCTTTAAAGCAAGAATTTTTTGTTAACTTGGTTTTAAAAAAGGGGAAAATTAATGTATAGAATATTGCCAATGAGTTAATTCAAGCTAAAGTGCCTTGTCTGTAATGTCTCAATTTATTCTGTGGAATAAATATATCCCTGGTTAAAAAGTCGTACAGAGCAGGACGAGGGAACTGTTTTCTCTGAGGGGCCTCATCGGATCGGTTTTCAAGCGGTTACAATTTCATTTCATTTGGCAAAACATATTTTCTATTTCCTAATTAGACTGTACAAACCGTTTAAATAAGAAATAACAATGTTTAAAATAGAAAAAAGCTTAAATGTCAATGAAATGTGTTTTTGCAACTCTTGCCTCTTTCTATTTGGCAGAAGACGGGAATACAGCTCTTTCATAATAAATGTTTAAAGCAATATTTAAATGATGTGCCCGTTTCCTACAGAATAATCAGGTAATAATCAAGGGAGCATTTCTTAAGCTGCAGCCTTCACTGAGTACTGACTCCCATTCTTTTAAACAGAGGCAAAAAACCTATGAGAAGGTAAAATGTAACGCATTAGGGTGGCACGATTCCACCTCCAGGCCTTTCTGTGTGGAATTTGCATGTTCTCCCCATGTCTGCGCAGGTTTCCTCTGGGTGCAATAGTTCAGAGTGAATCCTAGTGTGTTTATGAGTGTGGCACAGATGCAAATTAGCTCGAGGCTACAATCCGGAGAGGTGTGTTCATTAACGTGCACTGTCCCAACCAAAAAAAAAGTTAATAAATAAGAATAACTTAATTGAGCGTTACCCTTGGACCAATTCTTCTGCTAACACACCCAAGACCCATGCAGGCTTGTCCAGTGTCATTGCATAATCCATTATCAATAAATAATTCTTTTCTATTTAGGGGGGTTTGGGCGGCATGGTGGCTGAGTGGATAGCACTCTCGCCTCTCAGCAAGAAGGTCCTGGGTCCTGAGTGATTGATGGTGTTGATCGGAGCTTTGATGAGCCAGTGTGTTCGGCGTCTCGCTTCTGTCATCACCGTGTGTGAATGTAAAAATATCTGATATCTGAACATTGTAAAATGTTTTGGGGGACATAGGTCTGTAAAATACGCTATATACATTACTTACTTACTATAATGAAAAACCAACATTGGACATTTTTTCTGCAATATTTATCAGCTCTTTTTATACTTTTTGGTCAAATAGTTTTCCAAATATCCAAAACTTTTCCGAAGCCATGGAAAGTTGATTTTTCAAGACTTCTGCTATTATTCCCTATGACTGCACAAACCCTTTTTATTTGTTATATATAAGCCCAGAAGCTTCTCCCCTTCACTTTGCGTATCATTTTTTGAACAAAAAAACAACACACTCTTCATTCGATTGGATTTTGAAGCGACATAATTTACCTCAAGGATTTTCCAAATATGTAACGCACTTTTTCATAGAAGTGCAAAATGTCTGTAACAGTAGCCCACCAGTGTAAACATGGAATACCTTTTGCATATGCACAAACACTTAAGCCTAATCCTTCATCCCGGCTGTCCGAACACACTCGTAGAAGCCCTAATCCGGCTGCTGCGTCCATACGTCCAACTTCCTCTTTGACAATTACCCAGCAGTCTTCATGTCACCCCCAGGACCAGCGAGAAAACCACATCTGCGCCTACATTTCCTACACACATCCATTCACACCGGCCCCAGCACTTTACTCCAGCTCGTCTATCCATCAGACTAATTACAACTGTTAGATTTGTCCTTAACCGCAGCTGGAGCTCGGCCTGGGCGCTACGGGACGAGAGGAGACAGGGGAGTGGTGGAAGGACGACCTACAAAGTATTTTCTATAACAATACATTTAGCAGATTTTCTCATTGATTGACTGCGGAACCTTCCGCAGTCAACCATTGGTTTTGGTGTTCTTTATTCCGTCTTTTTCCTGATTTTTGACACGTTTCACAGCTTTCACATTTTCAACAATTTCCACAAGTTATACATCAAAACGTTCCACATGTTTGGGAGATTATTGCTATTACTTTTGGGACTTCAGCGATTTCCGGTTTTTCCGCAATCGGACAAAAATCGGTCGATTTTTCCCATTGACTTATAATGGGGCTTCCACAAATTCATAGTTTTCAGAATTTTCTTCAACATTTTCAGCATTTTCTGCAGTTTGTGCATGTTCAGCTTCCACAACTTGTGAGTTTTCAGAAAAAAACTAGAAACTTGCAATGGCTGAAGCCATTGCGATTGACTGCGGAACAGATCTAATGTGGAATTTAGCTGAAAAATCCTTGAAATCCTTGAAACTGTTAAAATACTTTAAACATCTTTGAAACTCCTGAAGTATTTGAAGCTCCTGATATCCTTTAAACTGTTATCCTTTATACTGGTTTACATGGAAAAATCCCTATTAAGTTGCATTATACTGGTTTACATGGTAAAAATCCCCATTAAGTTGCATTATACTGGTTTACATGTAAAAACCCTATTAAGTTGCATTATACTGGTTTACATGGAAAAATCCCTATTAAGTTGCATTATACTGGTTTACATGGAAAAATCCCTATTAGGTTGCATGATTACACTGAAGTCCTTGAAACTGGTGAAGTCCTTGAAACTGTTGAAGTCCTTGAAACTGTTGAAGTCCTTGAAACTCTTGAAACCTTGAAACTGCTGAAGTCCTTGAAACTGTTGAATCATTGAAACTGTTGAATCATTGAAACTGTTGAATCATTGAAACTGTTGAATCATTGAAACTGTAGAAATGTCTGAAAGAGCTGAAGTCCTATTAAAATGCATGGGCCTATTAAAATGCATTGCAGAATTCTCAATGCAGATTAATGGCAGAATTCCCAAGTCCCGTAGAAAAAAACTGGAAAACTGCAGAACTCTATTTTTTTCTGAAAACTCACAAGTTGTGGAAGCTGAACATGCACAAACTGCAGAAAATGCTGAAAATGTTGAAGAAAATTCTTTTAGAAAACTATGAATGGCGGAACAACTA